AACTATGTTGAATAATAGTGGTGAGACTGGACATCCTTGTCTTGTTCCTGATCTTAGTGGAAATGCTTTCAGTTTTTCACCATTGAGTATGATGCTTGCTGTGGATTTGTCATATATGGCCTTTATTATGTTGAGGTAGGTTCCCTCTATGCCCATATTCTGGAGACTTTTTATCATAAATGGGTGTTGAATTTTGTCAAAATCTTTTTCTGCATCTATTGAGACGATCATATGGATTTTATTCCTTAATTTGTTAATGTGGTGTATCATATTGTTTGATTTGCGTATATTAAAGAATCTTTGCATACCTGGGATAAATCCCACTTGATCATGGTGTATGATCCTTTTAATGTGCTGTTGGATTCTGTTTGCTAGTATTTTGTTCAGGATTTTTGCATCTATGTTCATCAGTGATATTGGTCTATAATTTTCTTTTTTGATATCTTTTTCTGGTTTTGGTATCAGGGTGACAGTGGCTTCGTAGAATGAATTTGGGAGTGTTTCTCCCTCTGCAATTTTTTGGAGGAGTTTGAGAAGGATCAGTGTTAACTCTTCTCTAAATGTTTGATGGAATTCGCCTGTGAACTCATCTGGTCCTGGACTTTTGTTTGTTGGAAGATTTTTAATTACCGTTTCAATTTCATTACTTGTGATAGGTCTGTTTATATTTTCTAATTCTTCCTGGTACCTTTCCAAGAATTTGTCCATTTCTTCATGGCTGTCCATTTTATTGGCATACAGTGTTTGTAGTAGGCTCTTATAATCCTTTGTATTTCTGCAGTGTCAGTTGTGATTTCTCCTTTTTCATTTCTAATTTTATTGATTAGCGTCCTCTCCCTTTTTTTCTTGGTGAGTCTGGGTAAGGGTTTATCACTTTTGTTTATCTTCTCAAAGAAACAGCTTTTAATTTTATTGCTTTGCTATTGTTTTCTTCATTCCTAGTTCATTTATTTCTGCTCTGATCTTTATGATTTCTTTCCTTCTACTGACTTTGGGTTTTCTTTGCTCTTCTTTCTCTAGTTGTTTTAAGTGTAAGGTTACATTGTTTATTTGAGATTTTTCTTGTTTCTTGAGGTGACATTGAATTGCTATGAACTTCATTCTTAGAACTGCTTTTGCTGCATCCCATAGGTTTTGGTTCATCGTGTTTTCATTGTCATTTGTTTCTGTGTATTTTTTTATTCTTTGATTTCTTCAGTGATATCTTGCTTATTTAGTAGCGCACCGTTTAGCCTCCATGTATTTGTGTTTTTTACAGTTTTTTTTCCTGTAATTGATTTCTAATCTCAGTGTTGTGCTCAGTAAAGATGCTAGATATGATTTAAATTTTCTTAAACTTTCTGACACTTGATTTGTAATCAATCGAGGCTTGATTTGTACATCTTGATTTGACCCAAGATGTAATCTATCCTGGAGAATGTTCCGTGTGCACTTGAGAAGAACGTGTAGTGTATTCTGCCTTTTTGGATGGAATGTTCTATAAATATCAATTAATATCTGATCTATTGTGTCATTTAAAGCTTGTGTTTCCTTATTTATTTTCTGTTTGGATGATCTGTCTGTTGGTGTAAGTGGAGTGTTAAAATCCCCTATATAATTGTGTTACAGTCTGTTTCTCCTTCCATGATTGTTAGCATTTGCCTTATGTTATTGAGGTGCTCCTATGTTGGGTGCATAAACATTTATAATTGTTATATCTTTTTCTTGGATTGATCCTTTGATCATTATGTAGTATCCCTCCTTATCTCTTGTAACAATCTTTATTTTAAAGTCTATTTTATCTGATATAAGTATTGCTACTCCAGCTTTCTTTTGATTTCCGTTTGCATGGAATATCTTTTTCCATCCCTTCACTTTCAGTCTGTATGTGTCCCTAGGTCTGAAGTGGGTCTCCTGTAGACAGCATATATATGGGTCTTGTTTTTGTATCCATTCAGCCAGTCTGTGTCTTTTGGTTGGGACATTTAATCCATTTACATTCAAGGTTATTATCAATATGTATGTTCCTATTACTATTTTCTTAATTGTTTTGGGTTTGTTTTTGTGTGTCTTCTTCTCTTGTGTTTCCCACTTAGAGAAGTTTCTTTAGCATTTGTTGTAAAGCTGGTTTGGTGGTGCTGAATTCTCTTAGCTTTTGCTTGTTTGAAAAGCTTTTGATTTCTCCATTGAATCTGAATGAGATCCTTGCTGGGTAATCTTGGTTGTAGGTTTTTGTCTTTCATCACATTAAGTATTTCCTGACACTCCCTTCTGGCCTGAAGAGTTTCTGCTGAAAAATCAGCTGATAACTTTATGGGGATTCCTTTGTATGTTATCTTTTGTTTTTCCCTTGCTGCTTTTAATATTTTTTCTTTGACTTTAATTTTTGTGTGTTTGATTAATATGTGTTTTGGTTTGTTTTTCCTAGGGTTTATCCTGTATGGGACTCTCTGTGCTTCCTGGACTCAGGTGACTATTTCCTTTCCCATGTTAGGGAACTTTCGACTATAATCTCTTCAGATATTTTCTCCGACCCTTTCTTTTTTTCTTCTTCTTCTGAGACCCCTATAATTCGAATGTTGGTGTGTTTAGTGTTGTCCCAGAGGTCTCTGAGATTGTCTTCAGTTCTTTTCATTCTTTTTTCTTTATTCTGCTCCTCAGCAATTATTTCCACTATTTTGTCTTCCAGCTCACTTATTCATTCTTCTGCCACAGTTATTCTGTTATTGATTCCTTCTAGTGTATTTTTCATATCAGTTATTGTGTTGTTCATCTCTGTTTGTTTGTTCTTTAGTTCTTCTAGATCTTTGTTAAACATTTCTCGTATTTTTTCATTCCGTGCCTCCATTCTATTTCCAAGATTCTGGATCATCTCTACTATCATTACTCTGAATTCTTTTCAGGTAGATTGCCTATTTCCTCTTCATTTATTTGGTCTTGTCGGTTTTTACCTTGCTCCTTCATCTGTGACATATTTTTTTGCCGTCTCTTTTTTTTTTTTTTTTTTTTTTTTTTTTCTGTATGAGGGGGATTGTGTTCCTGTCTTACTGATGGTTTGGCCTGAGGCTTCCAACACTGGAGTTTGTAGGTTATTCAGTAGAGCTGGGTCTTGGTGCTGAGATGAGGAACTCGGTGAGTCTTCACTCTGATGAAGGTCTGAGGTTCTCTCTTAGTCCAGTGGTTCGGACTCAGAACTCCTACTGCAGCAGCTTCAGCCCAATTCCAGCTTGTGACCCAAGATCCTGCAAGCTGCATGGGGCAGCAAAAAAATAAAACAATAACAAAGCAAAAAATAAAACTAGACTAGGAAACTAACAGATACGTTAGAAAGAGTATAAAAATAAAAATATAGATGAATCAACAACCGGAAGGTACATCAGTACCACAATAGTAAAAAAAAGAGGGTAAAGAAGAAAAAAAAAAAAGCAGGGAGGAAAGGCCTTGGCTGTGGAGGGTGGGGTCTAAGTAAGGGCAAGGTTTGGGCAGTGGGTGGGGCAAATGCTCAGGATCCACAGGGCTGGAAAAGGCCTTGGGGGCTCTGGGGGGTGGGGCTTAGGGTCAAGGAACAGAAGGGGCCCAGGCATGCCCCCCATCCCTGGTCTCAGAGGGCAGGAGACTTCACTTGGGAGCCCAGCAGGCTTCCTGGGCTCGAGTGGGTGGGGCAAACGCCCTCCTCTCCTGCTCCTCAGGTCTGGGAGGCCTCCTCCTGCCTGCTTTTCCTGATCTCCTGGCCTCCCTCCTATGCCCTCAGGACCAATGCAGCCAGTGGGGGAAAGGGGAGCCTTGGAGGGCAGGGGACCAGCCTGGGAGCTCAGCAGGCTCCCAGGGCCCAAGTGGTCAGGGCAATTGCCCTCTGCTCCTCTCCCGCTCCTCAGGATGGCTCTTCCCACCTGCCTCACCTGATCTCCCCGGCCTCCGTCTTATGACCCCAGGACCCACGCATCCTGGAGGGGGATTTGGAGGGGGGGTACCAGCCTGGGAGCTCTGTAGGCTCCCTGGTCCAAATGGGCCAGGCGACGCCCTCCACTCCTCTCCCACTCTTCCCAGAAAGTCCCTCCCGCCTGCCTCTCCTGATCTCTCCGGTCTCAGGAGCACTGATCCTGTCTGGCCTCCGCTTCTCCTCCCTTCTCAGTCTCCCCACGTCCTACCAGTTCACTTTGGGGTTCCTCCCATCTTCTTGGGCATCAGAGTCCCCCACCAGTGGCTGGCAGGTGCCCTAGTTGTGAGGAGACGCTAACTCTGCATCTTCCCACACTGCCATCTTGACTCCACCTCAGGATCTTTGTCTTTAAAAAAGGTGAGAGCAAGACCTACTGCTATATATATATATATATATAAATTAAATAAAGTTATATATTTTTGGTCACGTTGGGTCTTCATTGCTGTATGCAGGCTTTCTCTAGTTGCAGCAAGCGGGGGCTACTCTTTGTTGCGGTGCGCGGGCATCTCGTTGCAGTGGCTTCTCTTTGTGGAGCACAGGCTCTAGGTATGTGGGCTCAGTAGTTGTGGCACACAGGCTCAGTAGTGGCTCATGGGTTCTAGATCACAGGCTCAGTAGTTTTGGCACATGGGCTTAGTTGCTCCGTGACACATGAGATCTTCCTGGACCAGGGATCAAACCCGTTTCCCCTGCATTGGCAGGCGGATTCTTAGTCACTCAGCCACCAGGGAAGTCCCTTTTTTTTTTTTTTATAATTTAGTTTGTGCAATGTGAGTTGTTAAAGTTTACACTGGGGTAATTTTATATACATACACATTGTGAAATGATAATCACAGTTAATGCACTCATCATCTCACATAGTTACCTTTTTTTGTAGTGAGAACACTTAAGATCTACTCTCTTAACACATTTCAAGTTTACAATTATGGAAAACAGTATGGAAGTTCCTCAAAAAATTAAAAATAGAACTGCCATATGACCAAACAACCCCATCTCTGGGTATATATCCAATGGAAAAGAAATCATTTTTTCAAAGAGATACCTGCCCTCTCATGTTCATTGCAGCATTATTCACAGTAGCAAGATATGCAAACAAGCTAAGTGTCCATTGATGGGTGAATGGATAAAGAAAATGTATGTGTGTGTACATATACATATATTTTTTTAGTTTCTTTTGCAAGCTCACCTTCCTCAAATTTCTTGCTAAATGATGTAATTCCTCAAAAACAAAAAAAAATGTAGAACAGGGTAATTTCTTAACGATGTTTCCAGATATGTCTGCAGCATAGAGAAATATTTTAGAAGACACCTCCTTCACAGAGGTAATGAAATGGAAGCATTTCCAAACAGAAAACATGGAATTTTAGACAAATTCTGTTTGGATAATCTTCAGATGATAATGGTCAGTGTGGATACAGCTATTTCCTAATACAGTGTTTGTACATCTGGACATAGGATTTGGAATACTTGATGAGTGGTGTTTTTTTCCAGGGCTCCCAAAGGAAATCTTCCAGAAAATACAAACTCTGAACAGGAATGGAAAGGCCCAACTCTGAACAGGAATGGAAAGCAGGTAATATATATAAAAGCCAATTAAACTTCTACAGTCTACACTGAACAACATACTCCAAAGACTCCTGGCAGCTGCTCATCCTTTCTGACTACTTGGTATTTTTGATCTTCCTAACTTTGACCATTTTGGTGGGTATATAATGGTGTTTTTCTGTGGTTTTGGTTTTCATTTCCCTTATTGTTAATGGAGTTGAGCTTTGCAGATTTGTATGAGCCATTGAATTTGCACTGTTATGAAATGTTTTTGAGTTTATTTTTTCTTAGCAGTTTGTAAATATTCTTTATATATTCTAGATATGACTCCTTCATCTGTTATATCTATGGCAGATATTCTCTCTCCCTCTGTGGCTTGCTTTGTCATAGCCTTAGTGGTGTCTCTTGATGAAGGGAAGTTCTTAATTTTGAACTAGAGAAATTTATTCTTTTCCTTTATGGTTAGTGCTTTGTTTGTGCTCTATTTAAGAAGTCTTTCTGTACAACAACATATTTGTGTTATCTTTTAGATACTTGGATATTTTGCCTTTTAAATTTAGCTCTGAAGTATATCTGGAATAGGTTTTTGTGTATAGTGTGAGGTAGATGTCAGTTTTTTCTCTCAGATCTACAGACTGTTCCTGCACCATTTATTGAAAAGATAAGTCCTTTTTCCACTGCACTTCAGTGATATCAGCTGTCCTTATGTTTATAAGTGTATCTGGGGTCTGTGTTCTCTTTTATCAGCCTATTTGTTCTTCCATTCCCCAGTACCACATTGTCTTAATTACTCTCTTATTATAATACATATTAATATCTGATAGAGAAAGTTTTTTGACACTGTTCTTTTTCAAAAACATGTTAACTATTCTTATATCATTGCATTTCCAAATGAGTTTTACAACCAGCTTATCAATTTATATGCACACATACAAACACACACACACACGCAAACAATTGTGGTTTTGAATGGGATTTTCTTACCAACTTGAAGAAAATTAACACCTTCATAAAATTTAGTCTCCCTATCTGAACTCAGTATATGCCTCCATTTATTTCGATTTTCTGTTGCTCTCACTATTTTATTGTTGTGTGTTTAAGTGCTTTCATATTTCTCATATAAGTTTTATTTTTAAGTGTTTTAAGTATTTTTTATTTTTTTCTCTTGCTTTATTTTTTAATTAATTAATTAATTTGGCTGCATTGGGTCTTCATTGCTGCGCACGGGCTTTCTCTAGTTGCAGCAAGCAGGGGCTATTCTTGGTTGTGGTGCGTGGGCTTCTCATTGTGGTGGCTTCTTTTGTTGCGGAGCATGGTCTCTAGGTGCGCGGGCTTCAGTAGTTGTGGCACGTGGGCTCAATAGTTGTGGCTCACAGGCTTAGTTGCTCCATGGCACGTGGAATCTTCCTGGATCAGGGATTGAACCCGTGTCCCCTGCATTGGCAGGCAGATTCTTAACCACTGTGCCACCAGGGAAGTCCCTCTCTTGCTTTACTGAGTTATATACTTGGCAAATAAAAATTGTGTATGTTTTATTTTTATTTATTTAATCCCCTTTCTTTCTCAACCAGATGCGTACAGGGGTTATCTCAAGCAGTGACTACATTTTAAAAAAATATTTATTTATTTGGCTGCATCAGGTCTTAGGTGCGGCATGCTGGCTCTTTATTGGCGGTGCGCGGCTTCTCTCTAGTTGTGGTGTGTGTGCTCCAAAGCACGCGGGCTCAGTAGTTGCTGCATGTGGGCTACAGAACACGTGGGCTCAATAGTTGCGGCACACGGGCTTCTCTCTAGTTGTGGGGCTCTCTAGTTGTGGTGCACGGGCTCTCTAATTGTGGCACCCAGGCTCCAGAGCATGCAGGCTCAGTAATTGCGGCACGCAGGCTCTCTAGTTGTGGTGCACGGGCTCTAGAGCACACGGGCTTAGTTGCCCCGTGGCATGTGGGATCTTAGTTCCCCGACCAGGGATCGAACCTGTGTCCCCTGCATTGGAAGGTGGAGTCTTAACCACTGGACCACCAGGGAAGTCCCTGTGTATATTTTAGATGTATGTCTTAGTCCATTTGGGCTGGTGTAACAAAATGTTGTAGACTGGGTGGCTTATAAACAACAGAAATTTCTTTGTCACAGTTCTGAAGGCTGAGAAGTCCAAGACCAAGATGCTGGCAGGCTTGGTGTCTGGTGAGAACTTTTTTCTTGGTTCATAAATGGTGTGTCCTCACAGAACAGAAGGGGCGAGGGATCTCTCTGGGGCTTCACCCTCATGACCTAATCACCTCCAAAGGCCCTACCTTTTTTTTTTTTTTTTTGCGGTACACAGGCCTCTCACTGTTGTGGCCTCTCCCGTTGCAGAGCACAGGCTCCGGACGCGCAGGCTCAGCGGCCATGGCTCACGGGCCCAGCCGCTCCGCGGCATGTGGAATCCTCCCGAACCGGGGCACGAACCCGTGTCCTCTGCATTGGCAGGCAGACTCTCAACCACTGTGCCACCAGGGAAGCCCAGCCCTACCTTTTAATATCACCTCCAGAGATTAGGATTTCAACATACAGAATTGCGGGTGGGGGTCATAAACATTTAGTGTATACTGTACACTATACAATGTGATGATTTGATACATGTATACATTGTGAAGTGATTACCACAAGTAAGCTAATTAACATATCCATCACCTCACATAGTTATAATTTATGTGTGTGGTGAGAACACTTAAGATCAACTCTTCTAGCAAATTTCAAGTATACAATACAGTATTACTAACTATAGTCACCATGGTATACAATACCACTCCAGAACTTACTCATCCCACATAACTGAATCTTTGTACCCTTTGACCAACATCTCCTCTCTTCCCCCTGCCCCATCAAACCCTGGCAACCACCAGATTCCACATGTAAGTGAGATCATGCAATATTTTTCTATGCTTGGCTTATTTCACTCAGCATAAGGTTCATGCGTGTTGTCACAAATAGCAGATTTTTTTCTTTTGTAAGGCTGAATAATATTACTCTGTGTGTGCGTGCAGGAAAAGTATGTGTATGTGCACATGCCCCATAGTTTTTATGCGTTCATCTGTCGACGGACACTTAGGTTGTTTTCAGATCTTGGCAGTTTTGTCAGTAATGCTGCAATGAACATGGAGATGCAGATACCTCTTCAGCCAACAGTCCACAAGAAGCTGGAGCCCTCAGTTCTACAAGTTAATGAATTCTGCCAACAACCAGAATGAGCTTAAGTGGCTTTTTCCCTAGTTAAGCCTCCAGATTCAAGCACAGCCCAGTTGACACCTTGACTACCCAGCCAAGCTGACCCACTGAATTTCGGACTCCTGATGCACTGAAACTGTGCTAGTTTAAGCTGTTGAATTTGTGGTAATTTACTGTATAGCAAAAGATAACTAATATATCGTTTGTTAGCTGTATGACCTTGGGGAGGCTGTGTATATTCCCTGTGCCTTAGTTCTCTCATCCTCAAATAACAACAATAACCTATCCCATAGGCTATGAGGATAAAATGAGATAATGCAAGCACAGTCCTCTGGCAATGCCCAGCCCCCTAGAAGTTTTCTCAGTAATTATGAGCTGTTTATCACTGCCTTTCTCTCTCTCCCTCCCTCCCTCTTTTCCCTCTTCATACCTCAATAGTTTTTTTACCCTGATTCTTCATCTCATCTCCTTTTCTAGAATTTCATTTCTGTGCCTAATATAGTCTTGGCTGGCCAATACCTCCTTTATCTAATTGTCATTTATCGGACAACCTCAACTATTCTAAATATAATCAAGATACTCTAGGGCTTCCCTGGTGGCGCAGTGGTTGAGAGTCCGCCTGCCGATGCAGGGGACGCGGGTTCGTGCCCCGGTCCGGGAAGGTCCCACATGCCGCGGAGCAGCTGGGCCCATGAGCCATGGCCGCTGAGCCTGCGCGTCCGGAGCCTGTGCTCCACAACGGGAGAGGCCACAACAGTGAGAGGCCCGCGTACCGCAAAACAAACAAACAAACAAAGATACTCCAAAACCAAAATGATTCCATGTAGAAAATACATTAAATTTATATTCTTGACTTGACACTCATTCTCTCTTAAATTTTGATTTCCAAATTTGTTTATAATGACAATATTGTCATTAAGAGAGCCTCAGATTCCATTCTACACTAATGAGAACAGAGTGTGAATTTTATATTTTCATGCTTAAGATATGTATGATATAATATTAGAAATATGTAATACTTCAAAAAGATTTAAAGTTGTTAAATAAAAGATATCTTGTTCAACAACAACAAAATGAAAACGCACAATTTTAAAATGCGCAAAGGACTTGAATAGAAATTTTTCAAGGAAGAGAGAAAAATGGCCAGTAAGCACATGAAAAGATGCTCAACATCACTACTCAAGAAGGAAATGCAAAAAACTACAATATACCTCACATCCATTAAGATGGCTATGCTCAAAAACAACACAAAAACTAGAAAATTACAAGTGTTGAGAAGGATGTGGAGAAACTGGAACCCTGTGCACTCTTGGTGGGAATGTAAAATGTGGTTCCATCCCCGATGGAAAACAATATGGAGGTTCCTGAAAAAGTTGATAACAATACAACCTCTAAAAGAACTGAGAGCAGAATCTCAAAGAAAGATTTGTACACATGCATTATTCACAATAGCTAAGAAGTGAAAGCAACCCAAATGTTCATCGATGGATAAATACATAAAATGTGGTATATATGTAAATGGAATATTATTCAACTTTAAAAAGGAAGGAAATTCTGATACATGCTACAACATAGATGAACCTTGAAAACAGATGTTAGGTTAAGTGAAATAAGCCAGTAACAAAAAGGCAAATACTGCTATGATTCTGCTTGTATGAGGTGTCTAGAGTAGTCACATACATAGACACAGAAAATAGAACTGTTATTGCCAAAGGCTGGGGAGAGAAAAATAGGGAGTTGTTCGGTGTTTTGCAAGATGAAAATGTTCTGGAAGTTGGTTGCACAATAATGTAAACGTATGTAACACTATATGAAATGTGCACTCAAAAATGGTTACAGTGGTAAATGTATGTTTGTGTATTTTACCACAGTTTTTTTTTAAATGCCCTGCAGAAATCTAACCCAAGAAAGATTAACAAATGAAATAGTTGTGGTGGCTGCAGCTAGAGAGGGAGAGGGAAACTCATAGGCAGTAATAGAGGGTTTCAACTCCTTTGAGACCAGAAGTATGTTGAGGGCAGTTGCACATACCTAATAAACCCAAACTCCAAATGCTCTCTCCTCCTGTGTCTCATCCATAAAACCCCCTAGGGCACTAGAGATCAAGTTGCTAGTCAGCACTGAGATTTACACTAAGGGCAAAAACTCACAGGGAAACTTACCCTTAGGTTTTAACTCCAGCTTGTCAAGCACTCATTTCACTAAAACTCTGGGGCTTCATCATGCTGAGGAGCTAACAAACTTGAAAGCAGTTATTTTTCTGTCATCACCAAGGTTAGATATTTAAATCCTATTTGAGCTCCTTTGAGAGGCAGAGTAATAAACAAGATGGACCAAAGAACTCTTTCTGTTCCAGGAAGCGCATGCAGGGGACAGATGCTGGGTTGTGGTCTGGAGATCTGCTGAGGACCCGGGTGCTCAGGATGGCAGGAGGTTGGGAATCCTGTGTGGACTCACTGCTTGGAGCTTAACACTGAACCTGCTTTCTGGCTTCTGACCTCCCCAAAGCCTGCAAGCCCACTGCAGCCTGGACCTCAGGGTAGGTTCTGCTGCTAGGCTGTTCCTGGCATTCTGGGTTACTGCTTATTTTCTTTTCAGTATTTTTAATTTTCCAATTTAAAAAATATTTTGTGTTGGGTCATCCTGAACCCTGTCCTGCCGACACCTTTTGGCTTAAAGAGTATGGCGGCTTCCCAGGTCTCCAGGGTCTGGAAATGCAGTGTTGGGTCTGGGCTTCTGAGGAGCAGAAGGTTTGAGGCTTCAGAGCCAGTTATTCTCTCTCCATTCAGGTGACAGTGGAGGAGAGCCGGAAGTCCAGCAGAGTGGCTTAGAATCCTCTCTTTTCTGCCCTTTGTCTGTCTTCTCATCTGTAAACCTCGTCTCCTTTGAGATAGGCACTGGCAAGCAGCTGAAGGATGCGGACTTAACCCCTGTTCTTAACCCCACTCCTGCATTTTGCCCTACAAGCCTTCCTGACTTTCCTTGTCTTAAAACAACTCTTCATTCCCTTTTTATTTTTTACTCTTTTTTTAAAATAATTTATTTTATATTTTATTTTTGGCTGCGTTTGGTCTTCATTGCTGTGTGCGGGCTTCTCATTATGGTGGATTCTCTTGTTGCGGAGCATGGGCTCTAGGCACGTGGGCTCAGTAGTTGTGGCTTGTGGGCTCTAGAGCGCAGGCTCAGTAGTTGTGGCACATGGGCTTAGTTGCTGCACGGCATGTGGGATCTTCCTGGACCAGGGCTCGAAGCCGTGTCCCCTGCATTGGCAGGTGGATTCTTAACCACTGCGCCACCGAGGAATTGCCCCATTCCCTTTTTAAAGGCAACTGTTCCTTTCCCAATCCATGGGGTTTGTGTGGGACTCCAAGTCGCCTCATACACATGTGTGTACGTGTTTACGTGACTGCACGCGGGCCAGTGTGAGGCATTCCTTGGAATTCCTAGCATGTAGGTCAAGGCCAGCTCCTGTATGACCCCATGACATTCATCATAAACTGTAAGACTATTATGCCCAGTTACTGGCTATTTGACCTTGAGCAGGTTATTTACCCTCTAATCATCTGTCCCATCATCTATGACATTGGGAGAGTAAAAGCTCTTATTAAATAGGATGGTTTTGAGAATGAGCCAAGCCCACGCCTAGCAGGTGACTGGTGTTTACTAAATGTCTCCTCACCTTCTCCCTCCGGTGTCCCATCTTCTCACGTAGCCCCACAGCCAGGCCCTCCTCCCTCCCATGAGGCAAGGCCTGCAGTGTTTTGGCAATCTGGAACGAAAGTCTAGTGAATAAGCCAATAATTGAACCTGTACTGGAAGTTCCATCTTCTGTGTTTCTTAAAATTGGAAAGAAAATAGAGATCATACTTTTGTTAGTATTTTTACCACCTATTTCACCAGAAGCCTATGTTGCTGATTTTCTCTGTACAGTCCTTGTAAGTCCTTCATTTTATGAACCACCAAGGGTGTCGTTGAGCTAGACTGACATACCTGCTGTTCTCTGGTTGTTCATTGTACCGGAGAGCTGCAGACACTGCGAGGCAGGAGAGAGCTCTCCACAGAGGTCCCCACTGCTGAGCAGAGAAAGGAGGGTGCCAGAATCAGGGAAGAGTAAGCACAGCCTGCATTCTAAAATCCAAGTCAAGTAGGTCTGTCTAATCCTAGAACACGTTGTGTTTGACACTCACTGATTTCCTAGAGTAACTGGCTGGGCTGCACTGGGGTCTCCCCTTCCTTAGTGCCAGCACGCTAGGAAAGGCCCACGTCCACGTCACAGAAATTTTTTTTGCACATGGTGTTTTTCACATGGGACACTACGTCAACATCTATGTCCAATCCTGTGTATGGTATGAGGCTTTAATGGAAAACATCAAATGGTTTTTCCGTAGATATGCATGATGCGTTTATCCATTAAGTCCCTGCTATGTGCCAGGCACGGTGAGGGTGCTCTGTATGAAGCATTAGGCATCACCTTATTAGTGGCATCTAGCAAACAAAGACCTCGTGTGTAATGGCTTTTACAACCTGCGTGGAACTCCTACAGCACCTTAGTCCTGAGGTATTGGGCAGTTGCTGACATGGCCTCTTTTGGGGTCTTTGGTTATTGTGATGGTCATGTTCCCATGAACCTTTTTAATAAGATGTCAATCCTGAAAGCATCATTTCTGGTGGCACAGCATGTTGGGCACAAGTGATCTCAATTAGAGTTTATCCCAAGTTTGCACTTAGGAGGACTAGAGAAAAGGATGTCAGGTGGTTGATTTGCATTTCTCAGCTGTATGTCCAAGTCTACTTGGAGGCAGTTCTCAGTGGACACTTGATTAGAATGTAAATGTCATACTTTTCTTAATGTTTCCCTTCTCTTTATTTTCCCACTCTGCTGTTGCCTTTGATCAAGTTCACCTAATCTGTTCTTTGACTTTCTAAGAATTTGACTACCCGATACACCTCACAGAAGTGGAATTGTTACCGACCCAGGCCCTTGGACTCTTTAATCAATAGACATTCATAAGAAGCCAGAGAATTTCAGGCAAGGCATTACTGGGGCTCATGTTGCAGCACGAGGGAGTCAAAGCAAGAAACAGACATCCTTGCCCACTCCCCAGGAGGAAATGCTTGGGTCCTTAAATGGGATAATGGGCAGGTCCATGGGTTGGGCAGGAGGCAGAGCTTATGTGGCCTGTTCCCCTTGGTGGTGCCGTGTGCAGGGATCATGTGCAGTACCCTGCTTTTGCTCCCGGCACCCCCAAAATGGCGGACTTGCTCACTACTGCCTCCCCACAAAGCTCGTATAGTGGTCATGATGCCCCAACTGCTCCTGCATGCAGTTATTTTTAGTCACTTATAGTTTCTTTGTATCCTACTGCTCAAGGAGATGTTTGTCCAGGTGCAAGCACTCCAGTAGAGGATCCCAGGTCCCAGCCTATCTCAGCATCACATCCTCAAAGTTCATTCACATTGTTGGATGTGTCAGAATTTTTTTTTTTTTTTTTTTTGCGGTATGCAGGCCTCTCACTGTTGTGGCCTCTCCCATTGCAGAGCACAGGCTCCGAACGTGCAGGCTCAGCGGCCATGGCTCATGGGCCCAGCCGCTCCACGGCATGTGGGATCTTCCCAGATCGGGGCACGAACCCGTGTCCCCTGCATCGGCATAGTTTCTTTTTTAAGGCTGAATAATACTCCATTGTTAAGTATATACCGCATTTTATTTTTCCATTCAGCTGTCGATGAACACTTGAGTTACCTCTACATCTTGGCTGTTGTGAATAATGTTGCTGTAATCATGTGTACAAATCTCTCTTTGAAACTCTGCTCTCAATTCTTTTCGATATATACCCAAAAGTAAGATCATATGGTAGTATTTTCAATTTTTTGAGGACCCTCCATAGTTTTCCATGGCATTTGCACCATTTTACATTCCCACCAACATGCACAGGGTTCCAATTTCTCCATATCCTAACACATTATTTTGTTTCTTTTGTTTTTGTTTTTACCAAAGCCATCTTATTATGAGATGCTATCTCATGGTTTTGATTTGCATTTCCCTCATGATTAGTGACGTTAAGCATCTTTTTATGTGCTTATTGGCCATTTGTCTATCTTCTTTGGAGAAATGTCTATTCAAGTCCTTTGCCCACTTTTTAACTGAGCTGTTTGTTCTCTGTAATTGAGTGGTAGGAGTTCTTTGTATATGCTGGTATATAACCTTTTATCAGATATAGGATACATAAATAATGTTCTCCCATTCTATAGGTTTCCTTTTTATTCTGTTGATTGTATTTTTTTGATGCAGACAAGTTTTTAATTTTGAAGGAGTCCAGTTTTTCTGTTTCCTTTCGTTGCCTCTGCTTTTGGTGTCTTATCCAAAATAAAATGATTGCCATATGCACTGTCATGAAGCTTTTCCCGTTTCATAGTTTTAGGTCTTATGTTTATGTCTTTGATCCAATTTTTGTATATCATTTAAGGTAATGGTCTGCTAGTCTGAATGCCTGTGTCCCCCCAAAACTGATATGTTGAAATCCTAATGCCCTATGTGATGGTGTTAGTAGGTTGGCCTTTGGAAAGTGCTTAAGTCATGGAGGCTCTGCCCTGAATGGAATTGGTGCTCTTATAAAAGAGGCTCCAGAGATATCCCTTGCCTCTTGCACCATGTGAGGACACAGCAAGGTGGCACTGGCTATGAGCTAGGAAGTAGGGCCCTCACCAGAAGGCAACCATGCTGGCACCTTGATCTTTGACTTCCCAGCCTCCAGAATTATAAGAAATAAATTTCTGTTGTTTATAAGATACCCAGTCTGTGGTATTTTGTTGTAGTAGCCTAAATATACTATGACATGGTTCATCTTTATTCTTTTGTATGTCGATATCCAATTTTCCCAGCACTGTTGGTTGAAAAGATTGGCTTTAATCCATTGAGTGGTCTTAGCATCCTTGTTGAAAGTCATTTGACCAGACATAGGAAAGTTTATTTCTGGGCTTCCTATTTTAGTGGTCTATATGTTTCTTTATGACAGTACTACACTGTTTTAATTACTGTAGATTTATATTGTTTTAAAATCAAGTGTGGTACCTCCAACTTTTGTTTCTTCAACATTATTTTGACTCTTCAGGGTCCCTTGAGAGTCCATATGAATGTTAGGATGGATTTTTCTATTTCTGGAAAAAAAATGCCACTGGGATTTTGATAGAGTGCATTAAATCTGTAGATCATTTTGGATACTGCTGACAGCTTAACAGTATTAAGTCTTTCAATCCATAATCAGAGGATGTCTTTTATTTGTGTCTAATTTCTTTCACTAATGTTCTGTAGTTTTCAGCACAGAAGTCTTTTGCCTCCTTGGTTAAATTTATTCCTAAGTGTTTTATTCTTCTTGATTCTATTGTAAATGGAATCGTTTTCTTAATTTCCTTTTTTGGATTGTTCATTGTTAGGGTACAAAAACAACTGATTTTTGTGTGTTGATTTTGTATCTTGCCACTTTGTTAATTTATTTGTTCTAACAGGTGTGTGTGTGAGCTGTAATTTTTAGGGCTTTCTACATATCAGATCATGTTGTGTGTGAAGCAAGGTAACTGCCTTTTAATTATTTTTCTTGTTTAACTGCTCTGGCTAGGACTTCCAGTTATTTTGTTCAGTCAAAGTGGTGAAAGCAGACATCTGTGTCTTGTTCCTGATCTTAAAAGAAAAGCTTTCAGTCGTTCATCATTGAATATGAATACCATCTGTGGGCTTTTCATATATGGTCTTCATTTTGTTTATTTCCTTCTACTCCTAGGTTGTTCAGTGTTTTTATTGCAAAAGGGTATTGAGTTTTGTCACATTGAGATGATCAAATGGGTTTTTATTCACTGTCACTCTGCAAATGTGGTATATTACCATTGATTGACTTTATTATATTGAGCCATTCTTGCATTCCTGGAATAAATCCCACTTGGTCATCATGTGTAATCCTTTTGTCATCATGTATAATCTTTTAATGTGCTGTTGAATTCTGGTTGCTATTATTTTGTTGAGGATTTTTGTATTGCTTTCCTCTTGGTGCTTTTAAGATTGTCTTTGACTTTTGATGGTTTGATTAAATCTTGGTGTGGGCCTCTTTGGATGTATCCCACTTTGAGTTGTTGATCCTCTTGTGTTTATATTCCCATTTTTCCCCTCAAATTTAGGATGTCTACAGCCACTCGCTCCCTGTACCTTTTGTGCTATGTTCTGAATGGTAGTGTGCCCCCTGGAGTTCATGTTGAAATTCTAACTCCCAAAGGTGACGGTATTACAAGGTGCAGCCTTTGGGAAGTGCTTCAGTCACAAGGGTGTAACTAAAGAATGGGATTAGCACTGGATACAGGAGACTCCAGAGAGCTCCCCAGCACTCCCACCAGGTGAAGATATGAAAAGTCTGCATCTGGCAGAGGGCCCTCACCTGACTGTTGCTGGCACCCTGATCTCAGAATTTAAGCCTCCAGAACTGTGAGAAGTAACTTTGTTGTTTATAAGCCACCCAAATCTGGGGTATTTTGTCATAACATCCCTAACAGACTAAGCTTTTATTCACTATTTCTGAAAAGTAAAATATTGTGGGTGTTGTTTTGGTTTTCTTTAAAAACAATATTTCCTGATACTGCCTGAACATGCTGCAGCCAACAAAGTGGTCCATGCACCTCATCAAAGGTGGACGGGCCCTGGGGAGCTCAAAGCACAGAGCTAGGGTCTAGGGTAAAGGATTCAGTCAGCTCAGACATTTGAAAGGCACACAGATTTTTTTTTTTTAAACATCTTTATTGGAGTATAATTGCTTTACAATGGTGTGTTAGTTTCTGCTTTATAACAAAGTGAATCAGTTATACATATGTTCCCATATCTCTTCCCTCTTGCGTCTCCCTCCCACCCTCCCTATCCCACCCCTGTAGGTGGTCACAAAGCACAGAGCTGATCTCCCGGTGCTATGCGGCTGCTTCCCACCAGCTATCTATTTTACATTTGGTAGTGTATATATGTCCATGCCACTCTCTCACTTTGTCACAGCTTACCCCTTCCCCCTCCCCATATCCTCAAGTCCATTCTCTAGTAGGTCTGTGTCTTATTCCCGTCTTGCCCCTAGATTCTTCACGACCTTTTTTTCTTTCTTAGATTCCATATATATGTGTTAGCATATGGTATTTTGTTTTTCTGACTTACTTCACTCTGTATGACAGACTCTAGGTCCATCCACCTCACTCCAAATAACTCAATTTCGTTTCTTTTTATGGCTGAGTAATATTCCATTGTATATATGTGCCACATCTTCATTATCCATTCATCTGTTGATGGACACTTAGGTTGCTTCCATGTCCTGGCTATTGTAAATAGAGCTGCAATGAACATTTTGGTACATGACTCTTTGAATTATGGTTTTCTCAGGGTATATGCCCAGTAGTGGGATTGCTGGGTTGTATGGTAGTTCTGTTTGTAGTTTTTTAAGGAACCTCCATACTGTTCTCCATAGTGGCTGTATCAATTTACATTCCCACCAGCAGTGCAAGAGTGTTCCCTTTTCTCCACACCCTCTCCAGCATTTATTGTTTCTAGATTTTTTGATGATGGCGATTCTCACTGGTGTGAGGTGATATACCTCACTGTAGTTTTGATTTGCATTTCTCTAATGATTAGTGATGTTGAGCATTCTTTCATGTGTTTGTTGACAATCTGTATATCTTCTTTTGAGCAATGTCTATTTAGGTTTTCTGCCCATTTTTGGATTGGGTTGTTTGTTTTTTTGATATTGAGCTGCATGAGCTGCTTGTAAATTTTGGAGATTAATCCTTTGTCATTTGCTTCATTTGCAAATATTTTCTCCCATTCTGAGGGTTGTCTTTTTGTCTTGTTTATGGTTTCCTTTGCTGTACAAAAGGCTTTTAAGTTTCATTAGGTCCCACTTGTTTATTTCCATTTCTCTAGGATTTATGTCAGTGTTCAGCCTATGTTTTCCTCTAAGAGTTTGATAGTGTCTGGCCTTACATCTATTTTGAGTTTATTTTTGTGTGTGGTGTTAGGGAGTGTTCTAATTTCATACTTTTACATATACCTGTCCAGTTTTCCCAGCACCACTTATTGAAGAGGCTGTCTTTTCTCCACTGTATATTCTTGCCTCCTTTATCAAAAATAAGATGACCATATGTGCGTGGGTTTATCTCTGGGCTTTCTATCCTGTGCCATTGATCTATATTTCTGTTTTTGTGCCAGTACCATACTGTCTTGATTACTGTAGCTTTGTACTATTGTCTGAAGTCAGGGAGCCTGATTCCTCCAGCTCTGTTTTTCGTTCTCAAGATTGCTTTGGCTCTTCGGGGTCTTTTGCATTTCCATACAAATTGTGAAATTTTTTGTTCTAGTTCTGTAAAAAATGCCAGTGGTAGTTTGGTAGGGATTGCATTGAATCTGTAGATTGCCTTGGGGAGTAGAGTCATTTTCACAGTGTTGATTCTTCCTAGCCAAGAACATGGTGTATCTCTCCATCTATTTGTATCATCTTTAATTTCTTTCATCAGTGGCTTACAATTTTCTGCAGGTCTTTTGTCTCCTTAGGTAGGTTTATGCCTAGATATTTTATTCTTTTTGTTGCAATGGTAAATGGGAGTGTTTTCTTGATTTCACTTTCAGATTTTTCATCATTAGTGTATAGGAATGCCAGAGATTTCTGGCACACAAAGATGGATGTGTTTACACGGCTTCAATTAGGAACATTAAGAAAAAGGTAACTAGGGGCTTCCTTAGTGGTTCAGTGGTTAAGAATCCACCTGCCAATGCAGGGGACACAGGTTTGAGCCCTGGTCCAGGAAGATCCCACATGCTGCAGAGCAGCTAAGCCTGTGCACCACAACTACTGAGCCTGTGCTCTAGGGCCCGTGAGCTACAACTACTGAGACTGCATGCTACAACTACTGAAGCCTGTGCACCTAAAGCCCATGCTCTGCAATAAGAGAAGCCACTGTGATAAGAGGCCTGTGCACTGCAACTAGAGAAAGCCCGTGCCCAGCAATGAAGACTGAACACAGCCAAAAATTAAAAAAGAAATAAATTTAAAAAGAAAAAGGTAACTAACTAGGTCAAGCTCTGAAGATTTTGAAAGAAGTATCTTACTTGCTGCTGCTGTAAAGGAGCAAAAACAAAAGTAAAAAACCAGTGCCTAGGAGTTCAGTGTATTCACCCATCTAAAGCTGGTGAACTGAGGAGATTTAGTGAGGAGTAAAAGCTCTAGTTGTTAACAACTCTGGAGCTTGGATTTAGAGGAGAAAATTTTGGGTTAGAATTGACACTGTTTTTACTCTCTTGCTTTTCTCTTTCAGTGAGACTAAAATCCTCCTTTCTTTGGTACCAAAATCACCACTCTTACAGTAATTGTGAAGTCCCAGATCAAACATTTGGATCTTCTTACTTGGGAAGTATCTTTTGGACATCAAAGGCAGATCAGCTAGAACACTATCAAGATGATGCAATTGAGAGGTAAGGGTACGGTCAAAAGGAGCCCAGAGGTTGGTTGTATCTGTTAAAAGCATTTAAAAAACAACAGAAAACCCCACAACAAAACCCTCAACTCAGAAACATCCTGAATACTCAGTGTTTAGGTGCTAAAATATTAAAAGATTAATAACATGAGTCATTTAACTGTTTACGTTCTCTTATTGGACCAGTCTAGATGGAAGACAGTAGTAAGCTGAAGGTAAAAATTTCAATTGCTTTCTTACTAGTCTGCTAAAAGTATCTTTTAAAAGCACAGGGTATATATGAATTTTGTAGACTTTCGCATTTTCACAATTTTAGCAAATTCCAGTCTATGTCTCTGACAGTTTTTTTATAGATTTGTCCTACTTTTTTGTGCATTTTATGCATATCCTTTAAAAACATATACTCGAAATAGAGCTCCTAATTAATATACAACATGAGTTTCTTCACATACTTTCATCTTAACCCAATTTCCCTTTAGAGCCCTTGGCCATGAGCTGAGGACAAAGGTTACTGTAACTTTTTGAGATATTGTTTCCTGATACTTTGCTCATTTATTTTTCTATTTTAGAATACTGTGTGGCAATTCTCATGATACAGCCAAACCTAACTGTGACCTATTCTCAGTACCTGACCAATGCATTAAAGAAAGATTCTCAAACAAGATCTGGTGAGTACATAGATCTTTGTTCTAAATCAGTGTTTCCCAGCTGTAGCACTGTGACAGCTCTCTCTTGTGGGGGCTATTTAGTGGCCTCCCAGGGGTGTCAAACAGCACCCCTTGCTTAGTTTCTGACACCAAAAATAATATCTTCAGACATTTTCAAATGTTCCCTGGGGAACAAAACTGCCCCTGATGGGAACGGAGCTAACTGCCCATACATTCTGTGATGATGGACATAAATTCTTACTTTATTTTTACTTATTTAAAGCCTACATACAGTGTGAGGACAAATTGCTTCAGCATGGAAAATTGAAAACTGAGGGGGTTGGATACCTTTGTTAAAAAAAATGGGGGATATTTGTAGTTTTAGTTTCTTCCTACTTTTTTAAATGTTTGTTTGGAAGTGGGAGTTTTTAGGTTAATTCTATTAAATTATATAAGATGATATTACAAGTTTAGAAAATTTCAAAACACATAGTTGCCATAACTCTAAGAAAGGCTAAAAAGGTGATATTTATTAAATATCTCCTTGAAAGAAAAGAATTAACCGAACCAGGATTGAAAAACATTTATTGAAACAAAATCAAATACTTTCTTTTTATTATCTACAAGCCAACACTGAACTTACTTTATTCAAGAATGAACACAATGTACAAAAACAGTATGCTTATATTATAAAAATATGTCAATTTTATCTCCTGGGTGCTGAGCAGAAATCATTTTAAACAAAATCAAATCAAGGCAAACTTGCTCTCTATAATAGAACTGCTATAATTTAATAACAAAAGTGAAAGCTAATATATACTCACAAAGTATCTTTAAAGGCCCACTGATAATGCTGCATTGGAAATGCTGAATCCAGTCACCACAGTTCACATTTCCAACCTATGCTCACTGGCACCACTTCAGGCCTACATCACGGGAAAGCACCTCTTTTTTACAGAATGCATGTCATTAGTTAACAGTTGTTAGCATGTATTTCAGCAAAGTATTAACAGTCAATCATATTTAGTTAGCTTCAATTTTCACACATTGTTATGCAGAGCAAATGAATTAACAAACCCATTTATCCAGGTGGGACCTGCTAACTCCCTAAAAACTGTGTCCAAGGTTAGTATCTTAAAATTGTTGGTAATTTTCTTATAATTACTGGCACCTTCCTAGGCATGTGTTCTTGCACACAAGTGTGGCTACCTGTGCCTGTCAAGTCAGTGGCAGCTGCAAAACAGAGGCTGAAGAGTGCAGCCTTTGGCTTACCATGGAGACATGCTCCAGTGCTCACTAGAGTATTTGGCCCTTGGAGAATCAGGAAAGTGAGTGATTGGGAAAAAGAATCAAATCATGAATTGGGGAAAAGGGACCATGCCTCCCTGTATTGTTCTAGGAGTTATAAAATCTGTACTAAAGTCAAAGTCAGAATAGAAGTAGACTACATAGCATCCAGCACTGACAAGGCCTTAAAGAGCTTTCCCACTGCAGTGCTCTGTCTGGCTGAACAGAATGACAGTGGTACTCAGGCAAAATCCAGAATGCGGTATCAACACAACTAATGACATAAGATGAATTCAAGTTCGGAAGTTATTTATTAAACTGCAAAATGCCTATTTTGACTGCTAAGCATATGTTTCTCCTTGACAGAGTCTCTGGGATTGACACCTATGAAGACTCAAAATTGAAGAACTATCAGGACTGAGTATTCTAGTGCCTGCTCTACTGGGTAAATTAAATCCAAAAGAACTGGGGGAAGAAATGCTTCCATGTTTTGCCTATATAAACCCAATATTTAGTTAGTTACCTGTTTCACAAGAACCTGTGACTAAGGTGAAGAGAAATGATCTCTTCCTTTATACAATCACCTAATTCCTTATAGCTTTCTAAGTCAGTTTTCAATTAAGCACCATTTCCTACATGAACTGTTACTCCTACCAAATGCAACTGTTACATAGGGCTGAACTGGACATAATTTAAACATTTTCATGAAAAAAACCACTAATTGGCTTAGCACTACACCCTTACGGGGAAGGAGAAGCATTTACAGAAATACAATTTGTGAAGAATAAACGTATTTTGGAACCTGAGCCAAAGGTTTCTCACCAATACCTTAATAAGTCACCATGCAGGTTGTTTTCACAGGCAACAACACAGCCAGGTCAACTGTTGCTCCTGGCAACTTCCATTGTCCCAAAATATGTGGAAGATGGAGAAGCCAATGACTGAAATCCACAGTTAGGAATACAGGCCAAACCTCAACAAACTGCTACTGGAAGCAACTGGATACCATAATATTAAACATAGACATGTGAAAACAGAATGAGCACACAAAGAAATGAACAGCTGCTAAGATCACAATGCTCAGAGTCAGACCCAATGAGGGTATTACCACACACACACACAGATACATCTCACCATACCTGTTTACAATCCCAGGCCCTTGCTCTCAAATAAATATATTGAACATTTACAACAGAATGAATGCCTTATGAATGCAAGCTTTTATTATAACTCTAAATAAAAGTCATACTTCTAAAATAAGCTACAAATTGCTTTTTTTTTGTGAAACTGATGTGACTTGGTGCCACAGCTAACCTTTCTCTCATAGCAGCAGTATCATCAGCCCGTGGCAGCAAGGAAATGTTCATTTCTGGCATCCCATGGGCTCCCATACAGGTAACTTCATAAAGCATGCAGATACTACTCTGCTGAAGTTTCAAATGAATAGAAGTGATCATTGTGCTTATGGATCTCATACCTTCCAAAATATACATAAATGGTGACAAATTAAAATAGCAGTTCTTTGCTTACCAATAAAATCATAAGGCAGAGGGGATGGAGGTGGAAAGAGAAATTGTTAAAAATGCGGGAAAAAATGCAAAACAGTGCTAGCATTCACAAAAAAGATCATGCTAAAATCAGATCCATATTCATAAAAATCAATCATTAAGCCACAATCCAAAGAACTCTGTCCGTGAGTCCAAAGGCATGCATGCCAGCTGAAGGAAATGCAGGATTCTTCTGACAATAGTTTCTTCAGAGCAGAATAGTAACGTGTCACTGGAGTAATCAAAACAGGGTGAACAAGACGCCATCACACTTTTTTGCAATTGAAAAGGAAAGAAAAGTAATCACAATAAAAAAATTAAACAGTGGAAACAAAACATAGAAATTCACAGTGTCCTATAAAACCAAAGCATAATCCAAATGATTTTTACCCTTTAGGGGTTCATGCCTCTTAATAGTTGTCTTTTTAATTTGAAAACTTTATAATGAAAGATTTATCCATAATGGTATTAAATATAAAATTACTTCACTACACATGGGATTTCATGCAGTATTAATACTCAGTAACTTCACTCATGTTTAAAGGACACATAAGAGACATCTTGTCACTAGAATCTCAAAGCCTCCCCCCAAACAAGATGTCTTAAAGCATTTAAAGTTTCTCATAAGGAAAACAACCACCTGAAACTAATATTCAAAATGCAGTAACTGCCTAAGGTCATCACTTGGCCAACTAAAGTATTTTTACCTTTTCTAGGAAGTTCACAGTTTTTAAAAAATAAGAACAAGATATTTATTTTTTAACCCCAAGATTGAACTAAGGCTGTTTATGTCATCAGCTGTTAGTGAGTGGCCATGTATGATCTGAACTTCCAGCCTGTGCTCTGAGGTACTCACTGGAGGAGGGGTCCAGGGCTATCCTGCCTTCATGTCCACGAGCTGCATCTGCACGTTGGCAGCCATGCCACCCCCGTAGCCTCCCTTGGACTGCATCTGGTTCTGAATGGAGCTAACCTGCAACAAGACAAGAACAGAACCAGTCAGGAACTAGGGCCACTGCAAGTAAGCAATTCTTGCCTAATATTTTAGCTGGGTTGCTTTTCCCAAAAGGGTACCTTTTATAGACTTAAACTTGTTCTCATTAAAGGCAAAATGCTGAAGCTAGTGACTGAAGCAATTTTTTTGCCACAACTCCCTCTTCACCCATCCCCCCACTCCTGCAACTTTCTCCACTTGGCAATTACAAAAACAACGTTTTGTAATTCACAAGGCACATTTCAAAAGCAGTTAAAAAGATACAGATGAACTCAACTTTGTCCCTCAAACACCTTAATTTACAAACACCTCACATATATGATCACCTCAATTACCTGGATTAGAATCAGATTCAAAAATAAATATGAATGAAACTAAACCAGAGGTAAACTTTAAAAGTCCATGTGGGACTTCCCTGGTGGCACAGTGGTTAAGAATCCGCCTGCCAGTGCAGGGGACACAGGTTCGAGCCCTGGTACAGGAAGATCCCACATGTCATGTCACAGAGCAACAAAGCCCGTGAGCCACAACTAGTGAGCCTGTGTGCCGCAATTACTGGAGCCCACGCGACTAGAGCCCATGCTCTGCAACAAGAGAAGCCACCGCGATGAGAAGCCTGCGCACTGCAATGAAAAGTAGCCCCCGCTCGCCACAACTAGAGAAAGCCCGTGTGCAGCAACGAAGACCCAATGCAGCCAAAAATACATAAATGAATAAATTTTTTAAAAGTCCATATGGTAAAATTTACATACTTAATACAGTCTTAGTATAGTCTGATAAAGTGAAAAGGAGTATAAGAATCCAAAGACTTGGAATATTCAAAGCAAGTTTAGCCAGAGGCCACACCCCAGGAGACATATGAGCCCAGGGTAGAATCATCATTCTCTCCAGCTTTTATCACGTGGTTAGAGCCCCTGAACTTTTGACTCATCCTCTGCCTGAGCCTGCAAACAACATCCCCTTAACAGCCCTCAGGGAACAGGCTGGTCTCAGGTTTACAAGGATGGCTTCAAAATATGACATCATGTAACCCTCACAACAACACCAGGAAGAAGCAGTAGACAGTGAACCTGTGAAACCCTAGGCATCCTATCCTCAACCCTGATAAAGGCAGAACTCCAGGCCTGTGCACTCATTTTCTCTACCTGCAACCTTGCTGAGTGGCCCCAGGAGTGCCATATACCCTCCAGGACTTCATTAACCAACCTTCTAAAAATAAAAATAAAAAAACATAATTTTATATGTACCAATGAAGTTTCCTTGGAATAGGACATAAAACTGGTGCAGTTAAAAGCAAGCAATTGCCAAACAACCAGCAAGAGAGAAACACAGATCCACCCATCAGCAGACAGGGTGCCTAAAGTCATACTGAGCTCACAACCACCTATAAACACATCCCTTGACACAGCACTGCCCACCAGAGGGATAAGACCCAGCTCCACCCACCAGCAAGAAGGCACCAGTCCCTCCCACCAGGAAACCTCCAGAAGCCTGAGGACCACTCTCACCCACCAGAGGGCAGACACCAGAAGACGAGCTATGATACTCCAGCCTGCATAAAGGAGTCCACAAAGAAGGTGAGACAAAATGAGATGGCAGAGAAATATGTTTCAGACGAAACAACAAGATAAAAACCCACAAGAACAACTAAATGAAGAGGAGATAGGCAACCTACCTGAAAAAGAATTTAGAGTAATGATAGTAAAGATGATACAAAATCGTGGGAAAAGAATGGAGGCACAGATTGAGAAGTTACAAGAAATGTTTAACAAAGAGCTAGAGGATGTAATGAACAAATAAAGATGAACAATAACTGCAATGAAAAATACACTAGAAGGAATATAAGTGAGCTAGAAGACAATGTTGGAAATCACTGCCACAGAACAAAGAATGAAAAGAAATGAGGACAGTCTCCGAGACCTCTGGGAAACATTAAAACATACCAACATTTGCATTTTAAGGGTGCAAGAAGAGAGAAAGAGCCCAAGATAATAATATCTGAAGCGATTATAGCCGAAAACTTCCCTAACATGAGAAAGGAAACACTGAAGTCCAGGAAGCGCAGAGTCCCATAAAACATGACCCCAAGTAGGAACGCACCAACATGCATATTAATCGAACTGATAAAAATTAAAGACAAAGAAAAAAATATTAAAAACACCAAGGGAAAAGCAACAAATAACATACAAGGGAAACCCCATAAGATTATCAGGTGATTTCTCAGTATAAACTCTGCAGGCCAGAAGGAAGTGGCACAATATATTTAAAGTGATTAAAGGGAAAAACCTACAACCAAGAATACTCTACACAGCAAGGCTCTCATTTAGATTTGATGGAGAAATCAAAAGCTTTACAGGGGCCTCCCTGGTGGCACAGTTGTTAAGAATCTGCCTGCCAATGCAGGGGTTCGATCCCACATGCCGCGGAGCAACTAAGCCTGTGTGCCACAACTACTGAAGCCCACATGCCTAGAGCCTGTGCTCCACAACAAGAGAAGCCACTGCAACGAGAAGCCCACACTGCATCCAAGAGTAGCCCCTGCTTGCCGCAACTAGAGAAAGCCAGCACGTGGCAACGAAGACCCAACACAGCCAAAAAATAAAAAGGCTTTACACACAAGCAAAAGATAAGAGAATTTAGTACCACCAAACCAGCATTACAACAAATCTGAAAGGAACATCTCTAGGTGGAAAAGAAGAGACCACAACTAGACTCAAGAAAGTACGAATGGGGAAGTTCACTGGCAGAAGCAAACATAAAGTAAAGGTAGGAAATCTTCCACACACAAACAGAATATCAAAACCAGCAATCATGAGGAGAGTACAGATGCAGGATATTGGAAATGCATTTGAAATAAAGATATCAACCATTTAAAACAATCTTGTACATACACAGACTACTATAGCAAAACCTCATGGGAACCACAAACCAAAAATCTAGAATAGCTACACACACAAAAAAGAAAAAAGCAATCCAAACACATCACTAAAGATAAGACATCAAGGGACTTCCCTGGTGGACCAGTGGTTAAGACTCTGCACTTCCATTGCAGGGGCCACAAATTCAATCCGTGATCTGGGAACTAAGATCCTGCATGTCACTCAGCATGCCCCCCGCCAAAAAAAAAGAGAAAGAGAAGAAAATAGACATTAAATCACAAGAGAATAAAAGAGGAAGGGAAGAAACATGACCTTAAGAAACAAATCCAAAACAATTAAAAAAAATAGCAAGTATGTACATATCAATAATTACCTTAATGTTAATGGATTAAATGCTCCAACCAAAAGACATAGACTGGCTGAAACAAAAACAGGACCTATATATATGCTGTCTACAAGAGACACACTTCAGATCAAGGGACACATGCAGACTAAAAGTGAGAGGATGAAAAAAGGTATTCCATACAAATGGAAATCAAAAGAAAACTGCAGTACCAATACTCATATCAGACAAAATAAACTTTAAAATAAAAATAAAGACTGGTACAAGACAAAGAAGGACATTACATAATGGTAAAGGGATCAATCCAAGAAGATATAACGATTACAAATATATATACACCCAACACAGGAGCACCTCAATACATAAGGAAAATGCTAACAGCTATAAAAGAAGAAATCAACAGTAGCACAACAATAGTGGGGAACTTTAACACCTCACTTACGCCAATGGACAGATCATCTAGACAGAAAATTAATAAGGAAACAAAAGCTTTAAATGACAGAATAGGCCTGATAGAGTTCATTGATATTTACAGGATATTCCATCCAAAAACAGCAGATACAGTTTCTTCTCAAAGGCACACAGAGCATTCTCCAGGATAGATCACATCTTGAGTCACAAATCAAGCCTTGGTAAATTTCAGAAAACTGAAATCATACCAAGCAACATTTCTGACCACAGCGCTATGGGATTAGAAACTACAGGGAAAAAAATGTAAAAAAAAAAACAAAAAAACACATGGAGGCTAAACAATAGTACTAAACAACCAATGGATCATTGAAAAACTCAAAGAAGAAATGAGAAAATACCTCGAGACAAATGACAATGAAAACACAATGGTCCAAAGTTTTGGGGGTGCAGCAAAAGCAGTTCCAAGAGGAAAGTTTATAGAACTACAATCGTACCTCAGGAAGCAAGAAAAATCTCAAATAAACAACCTAACCTTACACCTAAAACAACTAGAGAAAGAACAACAAACAAAACCCAAGGTTAGTAGAAGGAAAGAAATCATAAAGATCAGAGCAGAAATAAATGAAACAGACAGACAAAACAATAGCAAAGATCAATAAAACTAAAAGCTGGTTCTTGGAAAGATAAACAAAATTAATAAACCTTTAGCCAGACCCACCAAGAAAAAAGGGAGAGGACTCAAATCAATAAAATTAGAAATGAAAAAGGAGAGTTACAACAGACACCACAGAAATACAAAGGACCATAAGTTGACTACAAACAACTATATGCCAATAAAATGGACAAGCTAGAAGAAATGGACAAACTCTTACAAAGATACAATCTTCCAAGACTGAACCAGGAAGAAAAAGAAAATATGAACAGACCAATCACAAGTAGTGAAATTATAGGGCTTCCCTGGTGGCACAGGGGTTGAGAATCCGCCTGCCGATGCAGGGGACACAGGTTCGTGCCCCAGTCTGGGAAGATCCCACATGCCACAGAGCGGCTAGGCCCGTGAACCATGGCCACTGAGCCTGCACGTCCAGAGCCTGTGCTCCGCAAGGGGAGAGGCCACAACAGTGAGAGGCCCGCATACTGCAAAAAAAAAAAAAAAAAAAAAATGTGGAACAACAAGTACTGAAATTGAAACAGTGATTAAAAAAATTCCAACAAGCAAAAGTCCAGGACCAGATGGCTTCACAGGCAAATGCTATCAAACATTTAGAAAAGAGTTAACACCTACCCTCCTGAAACCCTTCCAAAAGACTACGGAGAAAAGACACTCCCAAGCTCATTCTATGAGG